AGTAACCCCTTCTAAGAATTTCTTGGGCTTGTTTCTAGTTATTTCCATGCTACTCTTCTTTTGGAGTTTTCAGTTAGTCGTCCAGGATAGAAACTGTTTGTGAGAAATCTCCGGAAGTAATCCAGTTCCAATAATCCTGCGATGTCGATTTCCTCGCAGCTCAGTTCGAAACGTTTGTTTGCCACAGTGTTTGCTTGCCGATACCCCTTGTCACGCAAAGCGAACTTATTTGTGTGGTTCGACTACGGAAACACCTCTGTAGCATACTTGTACTCCTCTTTATTCACTAGAGTTTCCAGAAAAGGTATAGAGTTGTATTAAGAATAGAAATGAAATGAATAATAGCCTAGACTTTTAGGTACAAAGCTTTTAAACAAGTGGGGCAGGCCCTCGAATACTGAAACTAGCAGCGCGCACAAACTGAACGATAGTCGGCTTGGTTACCCTTGTGCAGATGATCAAACTGCACCTCAAATATATCCATCAGGTTAGCTAATGCGCTAGAAAAAAGTCATTTCCAATACGATCATGCCGGATCATCGTCAATGTTTGCCGTAACCAATGTTGTGCAGTCAACGATCTGTCTTTTAGTGTACTCGACTGCCTCTTAAGTACGTACAAAGCTGATCTGGGATATATGTCGCCTGACATGTGGCATGATTTTCGTGACAGGCTGAAATCCACTCAACTTTGATATTCATCTCGGTCAGCTCATGTGCATAACGAGGAGATTGTGTGATCCTTTTATAAACCGACTGTAATATGACGTGAACGCAACGGTACCATGCAGCTTGACCAGGCATGATGATGATTTCCAGTGCTCCTTGGCTATTATGTGCCTCAGATCCTGCACGACATACCGAAAGTTGCATTGCTGAGGCACAGGGAATCAATGCTTCCGGAGCAGTAGCTTGAAATTGACTTTTTCTTTTATAGCATGCTTCTAATCGTTCTTGCTGATCGTTATTTATTGCTCTTAAAGAAGACGACGATGTCACCAATATGTGCAATGCACCACTTGTATTTAACATCGACTAATGCAGCTTCAACCAATCGTTGGAATGACGCGGGGGCGTTTTTGCGTTGATCGCGAATAGTAAAGCTACCTGTATCGTATGATTATCGAGACAAGGTGCTCATTCGTCGACCGTCACAGTAACATTCAAGGAAGAACCAATGTCGAGTCTTAACAGGAATGAAATGCATTTAATAGGGTAAAAAATTTAATCCCAGTAACTGTACACGTTAAGCAGTTGAAGTTCAGGCCTTGTTAATACATCTCATGCCTTTGAACGACGGCGGAGTGACAAGTGACGATGTTTGAGTGACAAGTAACAGGACATGTTGCAAAAATAATTGACTATCACTGGACCAAAGAAATGCTCCATATATTAAACTATGCAATATAACAAACTATGTTCTCAGAGATAGCAAACGGCCCGTAGTAAGATCTCCAGATCGATGGCATAGTAAACTGAGGGCGTCGTTGGAACGAGAATTGTTAAACGAAAAGTTTGCCGCAAAGCCTTACAGAAGTGCTTGAATCCTTTAGTAGACCGAAAAAGGCTGGGGACAATTCGAATATCTTTTAGTTCGGTGGAAACGTTTCCTTCCATGGCACTCATACCTCATCTCCAAGCCATGCCTCGTAATTGACAGAGCTGAATAACTTTTCAACAACTTTTCAACGCACTTGACGGAACACGTTTCCTCTACGTATTTTCCTTGTCGGTAGTGACAGTTTTTATTGATATTAAATGTTAATATTTAGCGCATCGTTGATCACCGAATTTAATCGCGCGAAAATGTTCAACTATGAGTTAACTCGTGAATGATAGACACAAATAGTAGATAGCTCAAGTTTCGAAGTAATATTCAATTCTCGTTTCACAGCACCGTGTCGCTGTACGACGTCAACGATGTTTAATGCTTTTATTGCTTCGTGACTGAAGCAACAGTTCAAATTTTGACTCTAATGTCTTCAAAACTGTGTCTTAATGTCAATCGCTAATTGTTCAGCTGTTTTAATAAAACCTTAACTAAAGTATAACAGGGAACCAGATTATACAGAAGAAACCAGATGGTTGAGCTTTGGAATCCGGACCAATCAGCCTGTCTTTTTTGGAGGCGAACCGTTAAGGTTTCCTGAGGCAGATGCCTCCCCTTTCCAAACCTTAAATGATCACCGAGCTTCGAAAATGAATGAAATCATTCTATTCAAATTGTTCTAGTGAATAAGATTCCGCATCTAAACGGAAACCATTGCGTGCGACCAGGCTGAGGTACGCAATTCCTTTCATTCAAGTGATGGTCAATTCTGCAGTGAGAGCGAAGCGTTTCCTCAATAAGATATATTTTTTAATGCTAAATTTTTTTAAGGCTAAACTTCCCCAGGTTGTTGTGACTTTAAAGCAAAGAATGCACGTTCAAGACTAAATGAAACCGTACCTTTTGTGACATTGTGAATCCCCAGTTTGACTTTCGAGTAACTGCCGCAGCCGAGGTCTTGCAGAATGTTGTACTGTCTGATCTTCTTGCCCAGCAGCACGTCTATGCGGTACTGGGGATCTGAGGTCACGCTCTCGCGGGGAGTCTTGAGCGGCTGCTGCTCGGTCGCGATCCCGCTCGGCGCCATCGTGGGCAGGTACAGGTCCATAGTGGCGCTCGGTCGCTAGGTCACAAGCTGTCCTGGTAGTCACCGTCGTTTTAAGGCGGTGCTACGACGGCACGCCGAATCAACTGCTTCATGGTCGTTCGGTGCGATCGCAGATGTACGACTCCTTCGAAAACGATTGGTCCCGACAGCAAGTGGTTGCCGCGCTGACGGATGTTACAGACAGGCAGTCGGTAAGACTGTGCGATGGACAGTCGCAGATACGATAGCCACTGGCGATCGACACCGTCCACAGGTTGTAAATGGACAACTCGTACTCCGTTTCCGTTTCGCTGCTCAGTGCTAATCATACGTCGGCCATCCGGCCACCGATCACACCTGTTACGTAGCGACCACCTAGCGGCGACTGCTCCACGTCAATACGAGATCGTCGATGAC